CAAAAATTGATGTCCTAGCCATCTGTAGATGTTTGACTGATGCGTTTTGATACTGATTGGAAGTTTTCATAAGTTTGCAGCTTGAACAAGATTATTCCTGTTGTGAAGCATACATAAGCAGATATTCATAAACTATGTAACCAGTAAATAACGATGAAACTGAAACCACATCAGACTCTGAACAAAACTGTAAACAATTAGTCATAGCTGATCTGCAAAGTAAGATTCACGTGACATTAAAATAAAAAAGAAGTTAAGGACATATAAAAATGACTGTTGTGTAAAAGGATTTAGCTTGATTCTTATTCGTGTGTTTTTTCATATGAGTGACAGGCGTTTTATCTCAGAATTCAAAAATAAATGTATCGTGTAAAAAATTACAAAAGAATTAAACTCTTTTATCGGATAGCTATCAAGAATGAGATTTTTCCGATACATCATGCGTGATTTAAGTTACTGAAATTCAGTTACTACGTTAAGTTCATTTGTGGATAGACCTAAAACAGCCGATAGCCCGTCCGAAACAATTTCATTTCATATTCCACCACTCCTTTGCTTCCACTTGGCAAGAGAGATTTAAGAAGATCACGCTGTATTGCATTTAAGCACATGCAATGGCAGGTCCATTTCGCATCATTTTTTCACTAGATTCACTTCAAACCCATTAAGAGCAGTGTTTCAGTAGTAGGGGGCTTTATATGCTTTCTACATATCAACGTGTATTCGTACGCCGGAGTATGTCAAATAATTGAATTTGTTCCATCGGATACTGCCGACCCTCTAAACATGCGATAGACTTCCTGAAAAACAAAGCAGTTATGCTAAACATAACGACAATCGCGGTTTAGCTGGTTGATGGATCGATACCGAATTTTCTGCCCGTATTCCACTTTCCTTTTTTAAGTAAAGTTCATATCGTAGTTCGATTGCTTTTTAGATTGTTTATAGCAGGTTTTTAGAGTGCAATCGTGAGGCTAATTTAATATACAGGATATGTTCTGCTTTACAGCTTAAATACCAATCCCACTAACAAAATCCATGCTGGTTTTGGGAGCGCCATGAACGCAAGGCGACAC